GGAGGGTTCCCTTTTCTCCACACCCTTTCCAGCATTTATTGTTTCTAGATTTTTTGATGATGGCCATTCTGACCAGTGTGAGGTGATACCTCATTGTGGTTTTGATTTGCATTTATTTTTTCTAGATTTTTTGATGATGGCCATTCTGACCAGTGTGAGGTGATACCTCATTGTGGTTTTGATTTGCATTTCTCTAATGATTAGTGATGTTGACCATCTTTTCATGTATTTGTTGCCCATATGTATGTCTTCTTTGGAGAAATGTCAATTTAGGTCTTCTGCCCATTTTTGGATTGGGTTGTTTGTTTTTGTGATATCGAGCTGCGTGAGCTGCTTGTATATTTTGGAGATTAATCCTTTGTCAGTTGCTTCATTTGAAAATATTTTCTCCCATTCTGAGGGTTCTCTTTTCATCTTGTTTATGGTTTCCTTTGCTGTGCAGAAGCTTTTAAGTTTCATTAGGTCCCATTTGTTTATTTTTGTTTATTTTTGTTTTTATTTCCCTTACTCTAGGAGGTGGGTCAAAAAGGATTTTGCTGTGATTTATGTCATAGAGTCTTCTGCCTATGTTTTCGTCTAAGAGTTTTATAGTGTCTGCCCTGACATTTAGGTCTCTAATCCATTTTGAGTTTATTTTTGTGTATGGTGTTAGGGTGTGTTCTAATTTCATCCTTTTACACGTATCTGTCCATTTTTCCCAGCACCACCTATTGAAGAGGCTGTCTTTTCTCCATTGTATATTCTGGCCTCCTTTGTCAAAGATAAGGTGACCAGACGTGTGTGGGTTTATCTCTGGGCTTTCTATCCTGTTCCATTGATCTATATTTCTGTTTTCGTGCCAGTACCATTGGTTTCACTCAACCAATGTTGAGTGAAACCAATGTATGAGTGAAATAAATGCTGATATTTGTAGGCCACTAAGACTTCGTGGGATTTTTTTGTTCCACAGCAATAGCTGACTGACACAGACCCCATTATCTAAGCCACAGCTGATTGATCCAAGAAGGAGTAGCCAACCCAAAAGGAGACATGAAACCAGAGACCTTTGTGGTTGCTTGAGGTAAGAACTCTGCCCAACAGAGAGAGGTACCCTTACTGAATGATGACTGATCAATGAATTGGATCTTCATTCTTGGGAAGGTTGACTGAAGACAACCTGAGAGTCATCAGAGGGAAGGATGGCCCCAACCTGAGAGTCATCAGAGGGAACTGAGAGAAGTATGAAAGCAGGGAGTGAGCAAAAGCCACAAGGCAACTGAATCCATAAATAAGCAGAAGCCATAGGAAGAGAATTGTGTAGAGAACAGGTATTCAGAAACAGTGCAGGAGAAAGAAGCACAAGCCCTGGGGAGTAGAGGTGGGAAACCTGGGTCCGAGGTGAGGCAGAGGACATGTGGTTCTGCTGAGTCGCCAGAAGTGACGTTGAACCACTAGAGCGGCTGTGACGCCCATGTCGCAGGTCTTCCCACTTAAGCCTGGAGCGGGGATTCAGCCATTGTCCTGATGGACAGGGAGTAGGGCCAAGAGAAGCTGCATATTCACTACAAGTTCATCAATCATGAGTCTGAGAGATGGTTCTGCTTTTCAGGATAAATAAAGAGAAAAAAAGAAAAGTTGTGTGTGGGGGGTGGTGTGTATTCATTTCTATTACATTTTGTACAACTCCGTATGCACGGAATAATAATGTTAAAAACATTATAGGGATTCTGAAAAACTTTATCAAAACAAGAGAAAGGGCACATCGTCCTGAAGACTGAAAGAAAGAAACAGAACTCTTGAGAAATATTTACTGTAGGATTTGGAAGGAATTTTCAGGAAGGGTTTCACTAGAAGGAGGAGTAGAGTTCTTTAAGGAACGAAAGACTGAGATGAAAAGGCACCAGTGCGTGTTTGGGGAAGAAGAATTGCATGGAAACTCAAAAAATGCACAAAGAGAGCTAAAGTCCACGTGTGAATCACTAAAGAACAGAACTGAAAGTGGGGCAAAGCGGGAGAGGGAAACAGAGGACAAACTTGAACAAGATGCACAGGAAAAGGACCAAAAGATTAGAAAAAAAGGACCAGCGATTAAAACAGCACAAGGGAAGATAAGGGAACCAGCTGCTCCCAAAGATAAGAACAGAGCTGGTGGGAGTGACGTCACAGGTGACAAATCTGTACTGGGAGAAGGCTTCCCCAGGGCGCGGCTCCACTTGAGTTAGTGGGCTGGAGGGCATACTGTATCCCAGGTGAAGTATTAAAAATGAACTGAACCCAGATCCATCCTGACTAAATATGTGAGTTAAAGAATACAGCTCAGCAAAGTTAAAAGGCTTCCTAGAAAGGAACAAAAGTCGGTCTTGAGACATCTCTGTAACACTAAATGCCCAGAAGACAAAGGAGCAACGTCTGTAGTCATGACACAAGCTATGAGTCAGTTATTGTATGCGTATGCAAGTTTCCTCTTGCGTGTGAAGGGCAAGAGAACTGCATTTCTGAGAATGTTTGGGTTTGGAAATACCACTATGTCTCCTTCTTCTCCTTTTTTTTTTTTTTTTAAGATATTTTAACTCACCAAGAGATGAAGTGAAATAAAAACTCCCAAAATGGGGAAATCTTGGCATGACTGTAAATAATTTTTGTTTTGTTTTGTTTTTTTGGTACGCGGGCCTCTCACTCTTGTGGCCTCTCCCGTTGCGGAGCACAGGCTCCGGACGCGCAGGCTTAGTGGCCATGGCTCACGGGCCCAGCTGCTCCGTGGCATGTGTCCCCTGCATCGGCAGACAGACTCTCAACCACTGCGCCACCAGGGAAGCCCCTGTAAATAATTTTTATAAACCCAGTTATGACACTGAATATGTTTCAAAAAATCCTTTTAAAGAGAAAATATATAGTGTAAATTCTAAAAATTATAATAACAAAAGTAAAGATGTCAATCATTTATTGCTGGCCATGACTAGAGTCCATTTTAAGGAAACGTATCAGGTCATAGAAACTCAACTCTACTGAAACAAAGAGAGCATTTATTGGTTCAGGTAATTAAAATGTCCAAAGGCAGAGCCAACTTCTGTGCGTGATCCATGAAAGAAATAATTGATAAGCTGGACTTCATTGATTTTAATTAAATAATTTTTACTAATTGTAATTTTTATTTTTTGACCACACCGCATGGCATGTGGGATCCTAGTTCCTTGACCAGGGATCGAACCCATGCCCCCTGCAGTAGAAGCATGAAGTCTTAACCACTGGACCTCCAGGGAAGTCCTGGACTTCATTGAAATTAAAAACTTCTGCTCTGTGAAAGACACTGTCAAGAGAATAAGAAGACACGTTGCAGATTGGGAGAAAATATTTGTAAAAGACATATCTGATAAAGGGTTGTTATTCAAAACATACAAAGAACTCTTAAAACTGAACAAGAAGAAAAAAGAGCCACCTGATGTAAAAATTGGGCAAAAGACTTGAACAGACACCTCATCAAAGAAGATATATAAATGGTAAATAAACACATGAAAAGATGCCCAACATCATATGTCATTTCCCTACAATAATGAGATACCACGACACACCTATTAGAATGGCCAAAATTCAAAACACTGACAACATCAAATGCTGATGAAGACGTGGAGCAACAGGAATTCTCATTCATTGCTAGTGGGGATGCAAAATGATACAGGCACTTTGGAAGAAAGTTCGGCAGTGTCATAAAACTAAACATACTTTTACCATAAGACCTAGGACTCATGCTTCTAGGTGTTTACCCAAATGATTTGAAAAACTTATGTCCCCACAAAAACCTGCACATGGATGTTTATAGCAGCTTTATTCATGATTGCCAAAACTTGGAAGCAACCAAGATGTCCTTCAGTAGGTGAATGGCTAAATAAACTGTGGTACATCCAGACAATGGAATATTGTTCAACATTAAAAGAAATAAGCTCTCAAGTCATGAAAAACATAGAGGAAACTTAAATGCATATCTCTAAGTGAAAGGACCAATCTGAAAAGGCTACACACTATGTGATTCCAACTATATGACATTCTGGAAAAGGCAAAACTCTGGAGACAGTAAAAAGGTCAGTGGTTGCCAAGGGTTGGGGGATGGGGAGAGATGAGTAGGCAGAGCTCAGAGGGTTTTTAGGACTGTGAAATTATCCTATATGATACTATAATGGTGGATCCATATCATTATACATTTGTCAAAACCCATAGAATGTACAACACCAAGAGTGAACCCTATATAAACAATGTTGTTTTTTAAAAATTAATTTATTTAAACTATGGACTTTGGGTGGTAATGATATGTCAATGTAGCTTCACTGATTGTTACCAGTGTACCACTTTGATGGGGGATGTTGATAGTGGGGGAGACTCTGCACATGTGGGGGCAGTAGGTATGTGGAACGCTCTGTACTTTCTGTTCACTTTTGCTGTGACCCTAAACTACTCTAAAAAAATATAGTCTATTTTTTAAAAAAGTGTCCAAGCTAAGAGAGTAGATCTTGTTTTAGAAATTTTATTGAAGTATAATTGATTTACAGTATTGTGTTGGGACTTCCCTGGTGACGCAGTGGTTAGGAGTCTGCCTGCCAATGCAGAGGACACGGGTTCGAGCCCTGGTCTGGGAAGATCCCACATGCCGTGGAGCACCTAAGCCCGTGCGCCACAACTACTGAGCCTGCGCTCTAGAGCCCGCGAGCCACAACTACTGAGCCCGCGTGCCACAACTACCAAAGCCCGCGCTCCTAGAGCCTGTGCTCTGCAACAAAGAGAAGCCACAGCAATGAGAAGCCCGCGCACCGCAACGAAGCATAGCCCCCGCTCGACAATACTAGAAAAAGCCTGTGTGCAGCAGCGAAGACCCAACGCAACCAAAAATAAGAAAATAAATTTAAAAAAATGTTACAATGCTGTGTTAATTTGTTCTGTACAGCAAAGTGACTCAGTGACACATACATATATATACATGTATGTGTACAAATCATTACATTGTACACTTAAAATATATACAATGTTATATGTCAATTATATTTCAATTTTGAAAAGTCTCCAAAAAGATTACATTGTGTTTTAAAATTGAGACAAAAAAACTAATGATAGGGACTTCCCTGGTGGTACAGTGGTTAAGACTCTGCGCTTCCACTGCAAGGGGCACGGTTCGATCCCTGGCTGGGGAACTAAGATTCTGCATGCCATGAAATGCAGACAAAAGATAAATAAATAAATTAATTTTAAAAACCCTAATGATATATTAAGAAAGTCATGGAAACAAAGGAGTGGGGCAAAAATTGGACGTGAGTGAAGGTGTTGATTTACCACATGATTTACCATGAGGTAAAACAAGAAAGCACCAGCAGTTTGGGAGAAAATCTCAGTGATAGTAGGGGATCAGTCTTGAGAAATGCTGCATCACCAGTGCCCTTAATGGCACAGAGGTCAGTCAGAAAATGAATCAGAAGAGTCGGACTCGGAAGAAACTTTGTGAATATTTTAACCAATTTATTTTACTTACAATTTTCTTTTCATGTATGCACCAGGATGATTTTTTTTTGAAGGGCCTAAAATAACTTTTAATTAGCATACAATACCTATTTTAAGTGCTTAGAAAGCATTGTGCTATAATTTACCAGGCAGCATTTTTTTCTTAGTGGTACATAAAATAATAGTGTGTATTACAATTGAAGACGTCTTAGAGTCAGTGGAATTCTCTGTGTAGGCCCAGTTCTGGACCCAGTGAATCCAGCACTAAACACTTGACAGATAAGGTCCCTCCCTGTAGCTTCTATTACACTTTGGGAAACAGGCAGTAAACTAGAAATTAGAGACTCTACTAAGTTTTGTGAAGGAAATCAACAATGTGATGTGATGGGGAGTGACTTGGGCCAGTGGCTACTCTAGCTCTTGTGGTTAGGGAACCAGAACCACACTGAGACCTGGGCAAGAGGGGCCCCTACCTAGCTCTCTGCTTAACTTTATGCAGATCTCCAGGGGATCTTGTTAAAATGCAGATTTTGACTCAGCAGGGCTGGGAGGGGACCAGAGAGTCTGCATTTCTAACACGCCCCCAGGTGATGCCGAGGCTTCTGTTCCCGAGGACTGCACTTCGGTGGCAAGGCTGCAGGGCGCCCGGTGTATCACAAATACTGAAACACGAGGCCCCTTTCCCTCCCTTTCGGCCTTTGAGAAGGGTTTTGCCAGTGTGGTAAGCAACTGAGCAAATGGGAATTAACGAGAGAGCAGTGGGCCAGTTGGAGTGGATGGGAGGTTGAGAGTCTGCTGTTGTGTGTGTGTGTTGGTGGGTCTCGGTCAACCATGTAGGCATCTGGGCCCAGAGCAGCTCTGCTCACTCTGTCCACCCATTCTGAGCTAACCCTCAGGCTTGCAGGCAGCAGCCCTGGTCTGGGAAGAATTTGGTTCCTTCAGCCTCTGGATCATGAGGAGGTGAGCAGGCCAATGGGGTGAATATGGGCCTGGCCTTGAGCATAGCTTGATTTATACAATAAACTATTTATTTTTTGGGTTTTATTTGTTTTTGTTTTTTGGGGGCTGCGCGGCATGTGGGGTCTTAGTTCTCCAGCCAGGGTTTGAACTCATGCCCCCTGCATTGGAAGCGCAGAGTCTTAACCACTGGACCGCCGGGGAAGTCCCACATACAATAAACTATTTAGACTTACAGTACGTGTGCCTTCATTTGTGCTGGTGTCCTGGGCCTTACAAATGTTAGCAGTGGGCCTGCAGGATATAATAATAATAACAACTGACATCATAATACTGTCTCACCTGTATGCCAGTCTAAGTATTTAACATGTATTAACTCCTGTAATTCTCATAACAAACCTATGAGGAAGTGGAATGGTTATCCTCATGCCCATTTTGCAGATCAGGAAACTGGAAGAGACTGCATTGGAATCCTGGCAGTTTGGCTCCAGGGTCTGTGCTCCTGACCGTAATGCTCTGTTGCTTCCGCTCAGAGAGGGGAGCCTCTCGGAGGAGGCCTGAAGGACTGGAGGAGACAGCCACGTGATGAGCTGGAGGCAAAGCACATTCTGGTTGAGGGAAGAGGCAAAGGCTCTGGGGGAGAAGAGTCGTATTAAGGAACCAGAAAGAGATCAGTGATTAGGATGGGGCAGAGGGGTCCGAGAGGAGGAGACAGGCAAGATGAGAGAGGTAGGCAGGGGCTAGATCATGTAGGGCCTTCTGGGGAGTCTAGAAGGCATTGGAGGGTTTTAAGCAAGGGAGTGACATGATCTTATTTAATTTTTAAAAGATTATTTTGGTGATGCCTGGCAAATGGATTGTATTGGCGGAGGGGGGGAAGAGTGGAAGCAGGGGGACCAATGTGAGGAGGCTATCACAGTAGCCCAGGTGAGAAATGACGTAGGTGTGGACCAGGGGGATGCATAGGGAGAGAACTGGATTGCGGATGAGTTGAATGTGGAGGTGATGGATAAAAAGATGGTTTCTAAATTTGGGGTTTGGACAACTGAATGGGTAATGTTTTTTCTTCCCTGAGGTGGGGAAGTCAAAACCATGGGAGTGAGAGGTATGGAGGGAGACCCAGGCATAAGAGTGATGCTGTTCAGAGGACCCTATGAATTTCGGCTGAGGATGTTTCGTAATGTAACCTGGGTAGGGTGGAGGGTGAATGCTCTCTTAGCTTGGCGAAGCCAGTGTTATCAGCCAGGTGAGGACCAGATGGAGTCTTCAGAAGGGAAATATTCATCAGATGGGGTGGAGTGTTTGAATTCAGGGTGTAGACACCCTGCAGATACAACCCTTCAGCATTTCTCTTCTCTTCCCTCTCCCAGCTGAGACCCCTGGAGACTGAGCTCGCTGCACCCACGCACCCACAGTCGCCCTCCACTGTATGTTTGTGGTGAGTAGGCACTCAGATACCAGGAAAAATGCATTTGGCTATAATGTTTACAAGGCCCAAGAAGGTTTGGGGAATAGATTCTTTCCATAGGAAGGAAGGGGTGGTGTTTCCTGAGAAAAGGGCATCAACTCAGCAGGAACTGGGAGAGAATCGTGGAAAGAGGTAGAGCGTTGGAAATGAGTTATCTGACAGTGAGACACAATCTCGGGTGTGGGGCAAGGGACAAGGTCACTAGAGCAGGAGTTCCATGCCTGCTGTCTCTCTCCTCGTTCCCTCCAGGGGAAGATATCTAAATGTTGCAGTAAATATTGTTTACCTCCTTATAATGGGAAGCTAGCAAGGCAGAATCCTGAGCAGGGGAGGGTCACTTCCTGGTCAGTGTCACCCAAGAGGCATCAGTCACTGCATCCTCATCAGGGACCACTGAGTGTTAAGGAAGAGATGCCCACAGAGGGCAGGGCAGCCGGGAATACATTGTGCTCCATCCCCCTCTATAGGTTTCTCTCTAGAGGGTCGTTAGAGACACTGTGTGGAACCATGAGAGGGGGCTTGCCCATGATCCCCTTTTTCCTTGAGTTATTTTGGGTGATGTATTCATTTGCTAAGGCTGCCATAACAAAGTACCAGGGACTGGGTGACTTAAAGAGCAGACATTTATTTCTCACAGTTTCAGGAGGTCAGAAGTCTGAGATCAAGGCATTAGTAGGATTGGTTTCTTCTGCGGCCCCTTTGTTTGGCTTGTAGGTGGCGGCCATCTCCCTGTGTCTTCACATGATCTTTCTTCTTTACACGTTGGTGTCCAGATTTCCTCTTTTTATAAGGACATCCGTCATATTGGATTAGGACCCACTGTAATGATCTCTTTTTGACTTTATTACCTCTTTAAAGACCCTGTCTCCAAATACAGTCACATTCTGAGGTACTGGGGATTAATACTTCAACATATGAATTTTGGGGAGATACAATTGAACCCTTAACAGGTGGGTAAGTCTCCCTTACAACCACAGAGCAAGATTAGAACAATAATAACAAGCTCTATCTGTAACTCCCAGTTTATCAACATTATCTGAGGAGGGGAGGAAACAGATATGCTTAACTTCTTGATTTAACTGGGGAGACTCATAGCATGTTATTTTACTCCTTTTTTTTTTTTTTTTTTTTTTGCCATGCCACATGGCATACGGTATCTTAGTTCCCCAACCAGGGATCGAACCCCGTGTGCCTTTCAGTGGAAGCATGGAGTCCTAACCACTGGACCGCCAGGGAATTCCCATGTTATTTTATTCTTGACTACAAGTTAAGAATACTTTTGGAAATGTTAAAGGAAAACATTAGAGAAATAAAAAATGAGATATATGCCTCCAAACCTCCAGAGAAGATAAAAGCAAAGAAAATGTAATCCATATAACAGAATATAAAGCATCAAGGAAGCATAAGAAAGAGAAAACATAAAATAAGATCACTAATTATACCAAATATGTGGATCAAAACAATTCATGTAACTATTTTAAACTCCTCTATGAAAAAAAATAATGTTTCCAAATTAGGCTAGTCAGCAAAATTCTGTTAACAGTAGTTGCCTCAGGGGAGGGAAACAGGGCAATGGGAGACCAGAGGGAAAGGGAAATTACTTTTCACTTTTATGAAAAGGTACTATTGCACATTTTGAATTTTATTATTATGTTTTGCTTATTCCAAATAATAAATGCACAATAAAACTAAACCATATGGTATAGATGTTTTGTTAAGTGTTAATTTTATATTGATACAGGGTATATTTACAATGATTATATAACAGCCATAAACCTTTAGGCACGAAATCATATTGTATTGAAATATATAAAGTCCAAATACTTAGAAATACCCTGGGAAACTATATATATATCTATATAGCTATATAGACTAGAAAAGATAATAGTGGTGAGAAACTGTGACATAACACAGCAGTCTTTGGCAGATGAAGTAAGAAGAAATAAACAAAGGTACAAAGGTATTGAGAATCTAAATGATAATAGGTGATTGATTAATTAGCCACTCATTCAGCAAATATTTATTGAATGTGTCTGATGTGCACCACGCCCTTTGCGGGATACCAGGAATACAGCAATAGATAAAGTCTCCATCCTGGAGCTTGCCTTCAAATGATATTTCTTGAACCTTGTATCTCATAAATGGAGAACACACATTTTTCAATGTCAGTGAAACATTTATAAATATTGATAAAATATGAAGTTTTGAAGGAAATACCAGATAACCCCAAACTTGAAATTGTATTGGCCACCTTCTCCAACCACAATGCAATAAACCAGAAATTTACAAATGTTTAAGTAAAAAAGTCCAACCGTTAAAAAACCCCCAAATAGGGCTTCCCTGGTCGCGCAGTGGTTGAGAGTCCGCCTGCCGATGCAGGGGACACGGGTTCGTGCCCCGGTCCGGGAAGATCCCACATGCTGCAGAGCGGCTGGGCCCGTGAGCCGTGGCCGCTGAGCCTGCGCGTCCGGAGCCTGTGCTCCGCAACGGGAGAGGCCACAACAGTGAGAGGCCCACGTACCGCAAAAAAAAAAGAAAAAGAAAAAAAAGAAAACACCCCCAAACAGTCCTGGGACTTCCCCGGTGGTCCAGTGGTTGACTCCACGCTTCCGGGCTTCCCTGGTGGCGCAGCGGTTAAGAATCTGCCTGCCAGTGCAGGGGACACGGGTTCAATTCCTGTTCTGGGAGGATCCCACATGCCTCGGAGCAACTAAGCCCGTGCGCCCCAACTACTGAGCCTGCGCTCTAGAGCCCGTGAGCGACAACTACTGAGCCTGCGTGCAACAGCTACTGAAGCCCGCGGGCCTAGAGCCCGTGGTCCGCAGCAAGAGAAGCCACCGCAATGAGAAGCCCGAACGCAGCAATGGAGACCCAACCCAGCCAAAAAAAAAAAAAGACTCCATGCTTCCACTGCAGGGCGCACGGGTTCAATCCTTGGTCGGGGAACTAAGATCCCGCATGCTGTGTGGCATGGCCCAAAACAAAACAAAACAAAACAACAAAAACCCCACCAAAACAGTCCTAAATAATTCTTTGATCACTGAGAAAATCTGAATTGCAAACACAGATGATTATAAACAGATGAGAATGTATCATGGCAAGACTTGAAGAATGGGTGTAAATGACACCAGATTACTGAGTACTTATGATTAGCACTTATGATTGGTATCAGAGACATTTCATAAATTATCTCATATAATCCTCACAACAGATATGGCGTAATGCCTCTGTTGTAAATAGGCACTCATAAAAATTTGCCAAAGCGGGGTATGTGGCTCAGAGAGATTAAGTCACTTGCTTAAAACCACACAGCTGACACCAGTCAAACTGGGACTTGTACTCATGCCTGGCAGACTCTTGTGCTTGTAATTGCTGTGCCACCATCAACATGATTGATGGAATATGCAGAGGGGAGGAACCGGTGATTTAAGCTGGCTTTAACCGAAACCTGTTTTCTCAGGCTTTTTGCTGACCTGTTCTTTGTCTCCTTCTTCCCTCTCCTTTTCTTTCTTTCATATGACAAAGGTTTATTGAGTACTTACTGTGTACCGGATATTGTTCAATATGCGGGTGATTCAACTGGGGAGAGGCAAACAAGTCAGCAATACATATACAACTTTAGGGAGAAATACGTGTTGTGAAGAAAAAGGAAACAAGATAAGGAGGTAGACTGACAGGCTATTTTAGTTAGCGAGGTCAGGGAAGGTCTCTCTGAGGCAGTGACCTTCAGGAAGGGAGTGGGATTTGGGAGGAAGAGTGTTCCAGCGAAGGCAACAGTAAGGGCAAAGGCCCTGGGAAAACGGGCTTGGCCTGCAAAGAATGGGCACAGCAGGCACTTCCCTGGTGGTCCAGTGTTTAAGACTCTGCACTTCCACTGCAGGGGGCATGGGTTCGATCTCTGGTCGGGGAACTAAAATCCCGCGTGCTGCATGGCGTGGCCAAAAATAAATACTTAAAAAAAAAAAAAAAGGGACTTCCCTGGTGGTCCAGTGGCTAAGGCTCCATGTTCCCAATGCAGGGGACCCAGGTTCAATCCCTGGTCAGGGAACTAGATCCCACATGCCGCAACTAAGAGTTTGTATGCCGCAACTAAAGATCCCACATGCCGCAACTAAGACCGGGCGCAGCCAAATAAATAAATAAATACACATTTTATAAATAAATATTAAAAACAAAATAAACATGAGGAAGCACGGGGAAGACAGGTGCAGAGGGCAAGGGAGAAAGGAGAGTAGAGGACAGACAGAGAGGCAGGAGGAGGAGGAACCAGCACAAGGATACCCTAGCAAAGGGGGAGGAAAACCAGGAGAGTGTGCTGTCCCGGAGGCCAACACAGTGCTTCAAAGAGTGAGTGCATTTAACAACTCTGTTAAATGCTGCTAAGAGAGTGAATACTGACCATTGGGCTTGGCATTATCTCAACAAGGGTACTCTTCATCGGAGTGGTTGGGATGTGAATGGAGAAGAAAGGGTGACCAGACATTTGAGGAATGCATTTAACATGAATGACCAAAAAAACAAACAGAAAAACGGAAATTGCAGGGAATAGATATCATAAGAAGCACTGGTGGAAAGATGAGGAAGTTCTGAGGATAGGGCCGTGCAGTGTTGCCATCTGAGGCAAGAAGGGGAATTTCAGAGAGCAGAAGAGAGTATGGAGTAGAGAAATCATAGGATGGTTGGGTGTGCTAAGAGCCCACTTGTGATCTGTTGTTACACATTCAAAGTGAGATTTGTCAGCCCACTTGTTTATCCCCAGCCGTGCTCAGTTGCTCAGGGAAAGTCTCACTGTTGGTGGAGTTTGGTTTGATCCTTCTTGCAGTTTTGCAAGGAAAATGGTGGGACAAGAGCATTAAGAGTGTGTGCGAAGGAATCATTATAGTCATGGACCTAAACTGGGTGAAGTGGGATGTGAAGATGTGAAGAGGGTGACGGGCAGTGAAAATGTGGACTAAAGAACCTGAAAGGTTAAAGGATTGTTGAACTGAGGATATCAGAGAGGGGACTAGAAGGATGGATAGTAGTGGGGTGCTGGGAATCAGAAGGTTGGAAGAGGTGAAGTTACTGGTAATGACAGGGCTCTACGGTTTGGCCATTGGAGCGTGTGGCTGAGGAGGGGTGGAAGAGAAGAGGGCAAGGAGCTGAGAGGTTGGGCTGTTGGATGGATTATCTCAGTGGATGTCTCAGTTACACAAATGAAGACATGATTAAAGATGGAGAAGTAAACATAAGCCAAATGCTCAAGCCCTTGATGAAGCCGGTAGATGTCACAAGATGATTGCCCCAGGAAGGGTAATGGCTGGTCTAGTCTCCTGGCATGTGCTTCAAAGAGGCTGGGGTTTTGGAGGGAGGAGAAATTTTTTGGAAGCAAAAACATACGGTAAGAAAGACAACTGCCTCATCTCAGAATCTGTGGAATGTGGGAGAAAAAAATATTTCTTCAAAGGGTTGCAAGGGGGTAGTGGCTTTGGAGGAGCACCAAGTTTCTGAGAGCAAGAAGGCAAAGGGAAAACCAAGAGAAGAGGTGGATGATTTGGGGCATCTTGTTGACCTTAAATCCCAGAGGGTCCAATGAGAGGATCTGGAGCAGGAAAGGGAGGAGGTAGGAGATTGAACCCAAGAGGGCATGAACAGAGTCATGTGGGGATAAGTCAAGGTGACAATGGGTATGTTGGCAAGTGTGGACTCCTGGCGTGTTGACAGTGAAAGCGTTATGACTTTGCTTCCTGGGCTCTAGGTGCTGTGCTGTTCTCTTCATGCCCCTCGGCTTTACAGCAGCTCTTTGGCTTCTGTCTGTGGTTCCTGTCTTCTAGGCCTCAGATCTGTGTCCACGAGGCTGGGCTGGGACTAGCACCCCACACAGGCCCATGTTGTCTTCCTCATCCTACACTTCTACCTCGGTCCCTGCAAACTGCCTTCCTCCTTCCTTGGCCGGAAACTCCATGCGAAGTGTCTCAGGCATATCAACTCCCCGCCCACCCGGGAGGCCCAGACAGTCTTGGGTCCTGCTTTGGTTCCCAGCTGGGACACTTTCTACTTCCTCTTTCCTTTATAATAGAGAAAAATTAGGAACTGCCTAAATGTTCCACTAGGCCATGTCAC